TATGTATATATATATATATATATATATATATATATATATATATATAATGGCGTGTTTTAAGAATCAAGTTGGAAAGGATGTGCAGCATGACTGACATCTGCCTTGAAAAACGGCACGTCTTACATTCTGATTCCCCCCCCCCCTTTCATATTTATTCAAGCAAAAAAATGGTAAAATATCAGCTTTGGCTGAGATTTATTCAATGAAGTGGTTGCATAATTTTGCCTGGAAATACGCCTGTCTTTCTGCAAATAAACAGACAAGTAGACCACTCTTCATAGCATTTGAAATGCAGCTGCTACCACAGCAGGAGGACTAAAGCATTTGGGGCTTTGCTCTGTGGGCAGTGGCAATGGGAGGACAGTGGGAGTCTTATGTAAACACCAACCTACACCTCTTCAGGACCTGTCTATTTTTGCCATCTATGCTGTGTGAGATCAGATTATGAAAGAATGACAAGCTCAGCTTGATGTTGATGGGCAAGCGTCCTGTTTTTCAATCCATTGGGTAGAGTTTTTTTTTTTTTTTGGTTCCCCTCAATTAGATACTAATTACACTGATATTTACAATAAGATGTAGATAAGTGGATTCAGAAACACTGGAGAACAATATTGAGTGGTACGGAGTATGGTGTTTAGTGTGTGATTTATCCTGAAAACAGCAGACTGTTTTGGCGATGCAACCTTTCCTCTGTGTGTCCACACTGCCTCCAGAATAATCTGAAGATAAAGTCATGATTATTTTGGTGTTACTGGTATTGTGATCATCTTTTTTTAAAAGCAAGAATATCATGTTACTAATATTTCCTGCAATCAAGTTTGGTATTCAGTACAGCAGTCTTTTGGAAGGGTGTCTGTATATGTTAATTGCACAGGGAAAATGTACAAAATCAAGGCACTTTGAAGATTTCAAGTGTTGAGTTGGTTATGGTGGTCATGCTTATTTAATATTACTCTTCAATTGCTTACTCCAGTCCTTAATAGTACTTTGTAAGTGCATTCATTATAGTGGTTATGAAAAAGATCCGACGCCTAATGGAGAGCCAGCTGTGTATTCCGGAATCCCCGCTACCTGCGAAGTGCAGACTTGTTTCCCGTAATTAGACAGGCTAGAGAGAGCAGCCACGGTAGCTCATCATCTTTACTCGGGGGTTCTGGGATCCATGATCCATGAATTCACAATTGAGAACTTTCTGAGAATTTAACTTCATCCCAAAGTCATTTTCTGATCAGTAATTGAAAATCCATGGCACTAAATCAAAACCATATTATGGTTTACGTTCATGGTGGGTTTCCTGTTACCCTTATACATGTGCTGTCATTTAGGATTTATCACAATCGAAATTAAACAATTTAAAGAGGAACATTTCAGGACAGACTTTTATATTGTTTTAGCAATGTCACAATATGACTTACCAGAGAAACCCAAGGCAAACACGCAGACTTTGGGAAGGTGGACCTAGTAAGCATTTCTGTCACCCAGGTAATATTACACTGTGTGTTACTGTACATGCAAGCTGAATACAGGCTTTTCGTTCTTTCGTGGGATTTTGCCTGTAATTTTAGTCCTAATGGGAAACTGATGATCCACACGTTGTTAAATCCATATTGAAAGCTGGTGTTGAATGCAGTCGATGAAGAATGAAAGTGAATGTTCTTGGGAGTTTAACTTCCACAAAATGTTCTGAGGGCAGAATGAAAAATGATTGGTTTAGAGAGATAACCAATCAGATTGTAGAGGAGGTGAGGCCATGCAGCTAGAAGAGACATCTGATTAGTTGGTCCTGCTTCCTCTAGTTGCTTCACCTGCCCTCCTATACAATCTGATCATTTTTGTGGATGTAAAACTTCCATGAGCAAAGGGAATAACCCTCGTGTGGTATGCATCATAATCCCATCTAGTGAGGGATCTCATTTTGTTAAATGTGGCATATCTGACTGTACCAAGAATTGTTTTTTATGTCATGCATACTGTGAATAGGGTGAACAGAATGAAAGGTAAGCTCTTTATCTATAATCCTTAAGGTATCTTTAGGTAAAGTTTACAAAGATCTCACTCTGATTATGCCACCTCGGGAGCCCAAAGTGCAATAAGTGAGGCCAAGTCACAGTTGTTTATACAACTTTAATGTATTTGTTTGCAGTTTGTTCCTAATATGTCTAAAACTGCGAGGATTTCCTTTTGCTATAACAGTGACTTTGTAGGGTACTTAAATGAATCAATACTCATCCCAAGATATCTTATAGGCTGATATCTGATATCTTATTGGACGCCGCCACGGCTGCCCTTTGTCAGCGATTCTTTTCATAACTGCTATGGACAGAATTTGTAGGTGCAGCCCAGAGGTATAGAGCTCAGGGTCGCAGTTTTGTTTTTTACAGAAGATGTGGTTCGGCTAGTTTTACCGGGATGTGACCTCTGGTCTGCAGTGGGGTGTTTTTCAGCCAAGTGTCAATTGGCCATGATGAGGGTCAGGGCCTCCATGTCTGAGGTCATGGCTTAAAGCCGGAATAGGGTGAATTGCCCCCTCCATGTTGGGGATGAGTTACTGCCTCAAGATGAGAAGTTCTTGGGGTCTTGTTAAGTTTGAGTGAAGGAAGCATGGATCAGTGCAGCATCAGCAGTTATGCAGACATTATACTGGTTTGTTGTGGTAAAGTGAGAGCTGAGGTAAAAGGCGAAGCTATTGATTTACTGGTTGATCTTCCCTCCCGACCCTCACCGATGGTCATGAGCTCTGCGTAGTGACCAATAGAAAGATCGCGGACACAAGCAGCAGAAATGAGTTTCCTCTGCACGGTGTCTGGGCTCAGCCTTTGAGAGGGTGAGGAGCTCGGACATTCGGGAGGAGCTCAAAGTAGAGATGCTGCTCCTCCACATCGAAAGGAGTCAGTTGAGGTTTTCCAGTCATCTGTCTAGGATGCCTTCTGGACTCCTCCCTTGGGAGGCATGTCATGTGTTTCGGGAGGAGACTCCGGGGCAGACGCAGGAGTGAGTATATCTCTCATTTGCATGGGAGCCCCTCGAGTGGTATCCCCCCTATGGAGATGGAGGAGGTGACTGGGCAGAGGGAGGTCTGGCCATCCCTGCTTAGAATGCTGGCCCCGTGATCCAACCCTGGATAAGCAGCTGAGGATGGATGGATGGATGGATGGACAAGTAGGAGTGTAATGCGATATTATAACATGACGAGATTCCTAGTCAGAGTGAAAAGCGGTCTCGCGAAGGCGCTGCAAATCAGCTGCTGCAAATCAGCTGCTGCAAATCAGCTGCTGCAAATCAGCTGCTGCAAATCAGCTGCTGTAAGCATGTCGGCATCTGACGAAATTACCATAGCAGATGCCCCAGACACTTTTAAATCTTTTGCGTGGCAGCATTTTGGGTAACCAGCGGAAAATATAAACGGCGAAAGGGTGACAGACAAAACACAAACCATCTGTAAGCATTGTAGGAAAATAATGCCGTACACAGCGGCTAACACTACTACTATGCAAAGCCATTTGCAGCACCGTCATAGTTCTATACTTAAATACACTGCACCCATAAAGAAAACATAAAAAAATGTTTTATGTTTGTTATTTATATTGTTTTATTTATATCCTAGTTTATGTTCTATTGAGTAGTGAAATACGAGAGAAGCCTGTCATTTGAGTTTGTGGTGAAATATTTTATGGTGCTAGATATTTGTTCTGTTCGTTACTGCATATGATGATCGTGATTATTTAAAACATTTCACCATACATCTGCATTATTTAGCATTTTTTGTCTTTCAAATTAATCAAATAAAAGGCTGCTCTCCAATAATATATTTCCTCTTTGAAGTTTTCCTTAAAATACTGTTAAAATATCGTCTTGTCTCATCCTCGTGAACCCAATATCTTGTCTCATCTCGTCTCGTGGGCTGAGTATATCGTTACACCCCTAATGGACAGTACAATATGAAGCAACATGTTTTTGTAGTGACTGTTTCAATTATTTTGGCTGGTGTCCTGATTCTATGGAGTTACCTGAAGTTCTTCAGTTTTGAAATGTGATGAATATGACGTCCCTTTACAGTTTTTAATAAGTTCCTAAACCAGCACTTTCTTAAATCCAGAGCCTATGTCAGAAACTATGGGCACAAGGCAGGTAATAACGCAGGGCGGGGTGCCAGTCCATGGGGTACACACTCATACCACCCAAATCCAAAATGTCAAATCGAAAACATCGTCAGTGACACAGACAAAGCTCTGACAAATTATATACGGTTCTTGGAAGCTCATGAAGATTCAGGTTCTGTCACCATTTCAGCTTAGTCTGGAATCTGGTCCCGTTTATTAGTCGGACAAGTCTTTTTTTCTAACAGTTTTTTTCCCTCAATTTTATTTGTAGTGATTGATATTGGGTAGACAACTAACAGGATGCAATTTACCCTTCTGGAGTTCAATGAAAGTCAATGAACAGGATGCATTTTGTTATTCTAGCTCAGGGGTAAGCAATCCTGATCCTGGAATACCTGTGTCTAGCAAGTTTTCCATCCTACCAGGTTTTTGATGACCCACACCTGAATAGAATAGAAAATGTGCTGTTTACCAGCACTCCAGGAGCAGGGTTGCCTAACCCTGTTCTATCTTGTTATGGAAGTAAAAGATTAGCATGTCAGTAGGCTAAGAAGACAAACATGCTACTTTTTTTTGCTGGTTTTTACTTTGAATATTAAGGATATTAAAACACAAAATGTCACGGTGATTTTCTGGGCACAGACTGTAATTAATGATCTGTAGATGATGCATCACAACTTTTATATTTAAATGTATGCATTTTTACTCAAAAGAAAAATAAAGCTGAACCGTGTTTGAACACTGACAGCATGTGCTTTTACATCATAGAAACAGACTGATGCTCTCACAGGGAGTTGGGCAACTTTAACATGAACAGGATTTGTTTTGTCATCTTGCTACTGAGTTACCGGTGTCCCTGATGGTGATAATGATAGTTGGTGACATCTGGAAGCCAGGCTTTGGGTAATTATAAACAAGTGTGAGAGTTATCTGGAAGTGACAGAGCAGCGTGAGCTATCCATTTAGTCCGTTTGTCGCAGGACACATCGGCCCTGGGGAGTGTATGGACATAGCGGAACACTGGTGGAGCCCGGGGGGCTGCCAGCCTGGGCTGCACATGCGACCATTTCACTCCCCAGCACTACCCAGTGTAACGGAGCTCTACATATGGAGCGCGCACTGTTGTCACCAGTCGGTGGGTGCTGTGAGTATTTTAGTCTAAACCTGTTGAGATGTGCTGTGTGTGGGCTGACATTGAGATGTACTGTGTATCATTGAAGAAATTCTGTTTCTCACCCTGCTGTTTTTTTTATTTTTTATTCAATCCATTAAGATTCACTTTCTTGTTTTTATAAGATCATTTTCATTTCTTAACAGGCCTGTTCTTAAACTTAATATTGATTTGTCATTTCACTGTCTTTCCTTATCACCTTCAGGTTTCGATTTAATCTGAACTGGATGCCCAATATGTTATCACTTGAAGATTTAATTCTTGTGTTCTGCTGTTTATAACCAAAATATCTATATTTGTGATGGAAACATTGCACTCTTATAAACAAATAAATAAATAAACATCACATGCCCTTATATTGAAATGAAGCAGTTCAGCCGTTTTAGTTGCGAAATCGTGTGTGAGATATAATCTGCTCGACTGATTTTCTTTTCTGTTACCTATTTTTGTTTTTACTTCCAGCAAGGGGGTCGTTACCCCCATTTTAAGGAGACTTTACCCTCCCAAATAAATGTGTATTTATTGGCTTAAGTCATGAATAGTTTACCATCAGCCCCCCCTTCCCAATCAGCTCTAACTATGCCCCTACATCTAGCTTACTAGTAAATTGTTTCCTAAATCAGAACCATTGACACCAGGGTCCTACATCACGAAGCATGATTTCCTGCTTAGCTGGATGACCTGTCTTGATAACTTGGTAACGGGTACCTAAGTGTAAATGGATTTTATCTTCGTTCACTTATATTTAAACCAGACATTTAACCTAAATCCACAAGATATCCGGCGCAGCAAGAAATCCTGCTTCATGAAGAAATAGCCCTATGACCAAGCCTTTGCATTTATCATTGCATTTTTATTTACAGAAATATTTATTTTAGTGTACCACATTCACAAATGTTGTGTACATTACATATTGTATTTTATTTACTTATTTATTACTTATTTTTTTATCGAGAGGGAGACGTAATTTAAGAAGCGTAAATACCGACAGATCGACGACGACCATGCGCGATGCCTCTTTTGGAGACGAGCCAGAGTCGCATCGATGTCTCCCCCCAGCGGACACTGACTACATGGTGCATATTATAAGATATGCAAACAAATTCACCTTCTTCACTCTTCGCCTTCCCTCCAATCCCGAGTTTGCTACAGCTCGAAGGTGACTGTGGACACGTTTAAACAAGTACGATTACTCGGAGAAATACAGCAGGTAAGAAGTCTTTTTTCACAGCACCAGAAACTCACTGAGAATATAAGTCGACTGTAATATTCTTCACATTCCTGAAATCGACTAGCATTTCATTTTTTGGTGTGTTTTGTCTTCTTTTGAATCTTCTGAGTTTTACGGACCGCATTGGAATGTGGATGACCTTATGTAGGCTACATCTCAGTGATTGAAAACATAGTCAAATTATATATAGGCAAGAGTGCATTGTATGTATTTCGTTATCTTAATGCAAGCATCTTTGTAGATGTATGGTGTGTAAATATGTAGTGGTGTTTCGTAGACTTGGCCTTTTTAAAATTACGAGTATAATGCTATTTTTGTTTCAGTGTTCTATTTCTCTACGGAAAATCAAACGTTTTGTTTCGTCTCTTATTAATTAATAAAATGTCCTTACAACAAAACGACGGCATTTTTATTCTACGTACAGCGGTACTTAATTTGCTAGTTATTTGTATCAGTAGCTAGAAAGCAATATGACTTCCATTATTATCATCTTCGTTAATGATAACGATTTTGTTTACGAGCACGAGAGTAACTGAGCCTTAGCAATTCTGTAAATACCATGAGTGATCAAATTATGTTTTGAGCGTGATTAAACAAGGGAATCGCATCAAGACTTCTATACTGTACAGATATACAGTAATTATTACTTTTTATTGCCTCTTGTGACGCTGTATGAGTTGATTTTTTTCTTTAGCATTGTAATTGGGCACGGACGAACATTTCGCTGTTTAAACTCTAGGGCTTCATAATTGTACTTCGCATGTACTGAAGGGAACTGGGTAAATTGTTAATAAGATTGTTTATTCGTGGTAATGTAGCCTACACCCAACTAAACATTTTCAAATTAACTTAAATGCGACCGGAAAGCTGGACAGACAGCAAGATTCTTGCAAGTTACACAAAAAGGTTTCCACCAGAGAATCTGAACTGCCCTAAGTAATATCTGTATCAGTTCATGATTAAAACTGATTGTCAAAAATATCTCGAAATATGTTTTGTAAACAAATTCATTATAATATGTACATTTAGATTTACTGAAACCTTAATTATATTGCACTCTAATGTAGTGTAATATTAAAATAAGGCAAAATATAATGTAACAGGTGTTCATTCTTTCCTTTATTCCAACATCGTGTAGCATTGTAACAGTGCGCATAATTCTTTAATATACCTGCGAATTGCAAAAGAGAAACGATTACATACATTGAAACGATGCCTGTGGAGACGTTTGATGGTGATGAGAAAAAGAGTGAATGTTAACAAAAACTATAATAACTGGATAGGAAATGGGTAACTGTAATAAGTGTCTTTACAAAATTCAGAATACTGTGAATTACGCTATAGGCGTTTTAAAGAAGTCTTTGACCCCCATTATGAAACAGAGATTATCCTTCTCTGAGTAAATTACAGAATCGTCAAGTGTTCATTCATTGCAGCAGAGGAGTATTGATATTGCATGCTAATATGTATCTCCATGAATACTAATGACAGGCTTTTTAGTCTTAAAAGCTGTCCTTTTAAGCTAAAAATGATTCTTTACCTTTAAGAGAACCGTAAAATGGGGAAATGTGAGGGTAAAATGACGAAGAGTTTATTTAATCAGGTTTTTAGTTATTTTTAAATAGCTGCTCCTAAGCTGTTTGTTACAGGCGGCTTAATGGAGAGATCTGCCTCTCATATCTGTGGCTGCAGATCTGATTTCAGCCCAAAGACGTTTTCTTTGGGTGGATTAGTACCTCCATAGTATTCCTCTGACCATTAATGTACAGTGATGTACATGTTCTGCTGTTCTGTACAGGGTTTACTTTATACCTATCTTATGCTATCTGAGAACACACTGCATCATGACCTTGACCTGAAGAAGTGTTTTGTGGCAATGAATGAATGAATGAAATAGTATAAGTGTATAGTTTAATAATCCAGTATAATTCTCAAAAACTGGAATTTTGGTTTTATAAATATATATTTTTAGCAGATTCACCCAACTTCATTGAATAATATGCCATGACTCTGATCTTTTCAGCCGTGATGAATGACACCCAGGACCAGACAAGTTCACCACCCGCAAGAAATGCCTGTAAAGTGGAGCTGAGAGTCTCCTGCAAGAATCTGCTGGACCGGGATACGCTGAACAAGTCCGATCCCTGTGTCATCCTCATGGGTCAGGGGGAGGGAGACTGGGAAGAGGTGGGTCATCACAGCCCTGGTGCACTGTTGTGCACGCCGTTTTAACGTCAACTAACATGCTTCAAGTTTGGTGAAGAATCAGAACACTGAGCTCCTGACTTTGTTATGATGAGGGCAGGCGTGTAGCCAGGTAGTAAAAACTTGAGTTTGCACCCCCCTCGAAATTTGCTTTAGCACCCCCTTCTTCTGCTATGCAGGGACCCCCTCTCCCCAGTTGCTAAAATCTACTGAGAGAGACCTTTTCCAGACCCCCTGCGAAATTTGTTTCTGGCTACAGGCCTGGATGAGGGTAGTAGATGCTATTTATATTTTTATAACTTTGTTGGTATTTTTAATTTGTTATGACATTATTCTTTGCTGGTACAGTGTTGTTTATGATGTACAGTACCAGTTATAAGTTTGGACACACCAAGCCACCTACAAAGGAGAGTGATAGTGTTGCATCACATGACCTGGTCACCTGACCTAAACCCATTAAAGATGGTTTTGGAGGAGTCTGATCAGAGAGTGAAGGAAAAGCAGCCAATGAATGCACAGCATATATGTGGGACCTCTTTCAGGATGGCTGGAAAAGCATCCCAGGAGGCCACCTCATGAAACTGCCGTAGAGGAGACAGTAGGGTCAGCCAGGCCATCGAGCAACTGGGGTTAAGGACGTTGCTTAAGAGCCCAATAGTGGGATCAGTCTGCTGACCCAAGAATTGGAACCAGCAACCTGGCAACCATCTGCCAGAATTGCCCACAGAATTGCCCCAACCCCCCATCTTTATAATTATACTAAAATGCAGAGAATAGCACAAATAAACCTTTCTGTGGGTAGGTGTGCCCAAACTTTTGAGAATGGTGTGTCGCTGTACAACAGAAGCTACCAGTGTGTTGTCTAAATGTCATTGGCTTTTTCAAATTACAACCTGGTGTGGCCCTAAAGCCTGACATGTGGGTCTTGTATGAGAAATGAGCTGTCTGTGAGGCAGCATCAGAAGCCGGGATGAAATGTTAATCCCGCCTGCATTCTCCATCATCAGTGCCATGCAGAAGAAATAATATGGGGAGCTGGAATGTTGAGTATGGTTCAGCTTGACTGGAAGTGACACTGCCTTCAAAATGTGCTCTATACACCCCAGAAAACCGTATCTGTCATTTTTATTGAGTTGCTCGGCTGCCTAAAAATGACAGTGGTGGACTCACTCTATCAGTATCTGTGTGCATTGCAGCATATTCACCAATTTATCTGAGGTATTCTACAGTACTCAAGTTGTATATACTGAGTTTGTATGGTTGTTCTGCAAGCATGGGTATCAGTTTATCTCCAGTTATAAAACCTCTACCATCTTGGTCCAATGTATAGAGCTAAACGTGGACAGATGCATAACTTAGACAAGGTGCCAGTACTCCCCTTGTTATTTAGTACTAGGTGCTGGTTATCCCCTCGTTATTCAGTACTGGGTGCCTGTACTCCCTTTGTTATGCAGTACCAGGAGCCGTAATTCCCTTTGTTATTTAGTACTAGGTGCCGGTACTCCCCTTGTTATTCAGTAGTAGGTGCTGGTACTCCCCTTGTTATTCAATACCAAGTGCTGATACTCACTTTGTTATTCATTACCAGGAGCTGGAATTCCCTTTGTTATTCAGTACCAGGACCCAGAATTCCCCTTGCTGTTCAGTTGCTGGTACTCCGCATGTTATTCAGTACTAGGTGCTGGTCTTTCATTTGTTATTCAATACCAGGTGTGCGTACTCCCCTTGTTATTCAGCTCCAGGTGCCGGTACTCCCCTTGTTATTCAGCTCCAGGTGCCAGTACTCCCCTTCTTATACAGTACCAGGTGCCAGTACTCCCCTCGTTATTCAGTTCCAGCAGATATTGAGAGGTGCTGGTACTATGAAGGGAAACAAAAAGGTGCTGGTTCTGCATTCCAATGAGTACTGGCTGACTTCACACAGTGTAGATGAATATGTTGGTTTTAAGTAAGGATTGTTTTTAGGCCTATCAACAAAATAGAAATGCATGTACAGGGTACTCAAATGTATTTTTTGGTATTGTTCATGTAAACCCTTCTCTGACATGGAACACCGACTAAATGAAGTAATGTAAAACTTCTAAAAGATATATATTAAGTACAAGGATTCAGAATTATTTAGTTGACACTAACAATAATGAAACTTAATGACAGATCTCAGATATTATTATCAGGTATTATCTCTGGAATGAGCCACATTTTATCTATGCATTAAGCTACTGTGAGATAGTTAACCCCAGTAATTACCCACATTTCCATCTATTCATCTTCCAATCCCTCATCCAGTACGGGCTCATGAGGGTGACGAGGAGCACATCCAACGCAACACAGGGCACGAAGCAGGGAGACACCAGTCCGTCACAGGGGACACACGCTCGCCAATTTAATCACTGATTTTTGCTTCTGTGTAGAATCTTCTTTGTAGGTAGCTGCATGCCCTACGGGGTACCCTGATACCTGTAGTTACATTTCTGGCGAGGTGTGCGTAAGGTTATGGCGTAGGGTACATGGCTGCATACATAGATTTCTTTCTATTTTTACACAGCCACATAAGGGTGACACGGAGATACATTTCACTGCATGTTGTATGTATGTGACAAATAAATCTCTTGACTTGACTTGACTTGATACTACAGTACGCAGAAATAAAAACCAGCTTGTAGCCTTTATTGCATGTCTTTGAACTGATGGGGATGTTGGAGTACCTGCAGGTACGAGCAGGGGGAGAACATGCAAACCCCTCACACGCACAGAGCACGGGGCAGAATTCAAGACCCAAACCTTAACTGTGTTAGGGACCCCACATTTATGTGTGAATCACCCCATCTTTTCACATTCAAAAAAGGGAAAATTCGTGGTTACTTGTGAGTTCACACTGTTTCACATGTGTGTGAAAGACATGCGGCATCAGATTAGGGGATTCACTCGATGACACCCCACTGTCTATTTGTCTTCCCTTGTGACTGATTTCAAATTAACATGTTATGTCAGGGAAAATGACAATGCAATTCATTCTATTCATGAGTCCAAAAAGAAACCTTCCATCCATCCATCCATCCATCCATCTTCCAACTGCTTATTAAATACAGCCTTCTATAGCCTATTCCAGGCAGCACAGGGCACAGATCGCTTATTAATAAGAACTTCACCAGATGACTTTCTGGAGCAGGTGTTTGAATATTTCACTGTACCACCTATTATGAATGTGTGCACATTCTATTAATATTAATACTAAATCCTTTCAGAACAGACAAGAAGGTCGAAAATCTCCAGGTGTGGGTAGGAGTAGGATTAAAAAAACACATGTCCTATACAAAACATCTAATGCAGAAAATTTATTTGCAAAGACAAACAAATGAGCTGAGTTTTAGAGAAACCAGGTGTTTTTTTCCAGGCAGCAGTGAATTTTGTGACCATAGAAGGTACTGAATCTAATCCCTCTGAATCATCCAAAAGTGTGCTTGAAACACAGTCACCCTTCAGCTGTCATTCAGATCTAATCGAGTTGTCACACCAACTATTGTTTTTAGTAAGTTTACAATGCATTTAAATTTGTAAGTATTTTAAAGGGTGGTTGAGAGAAATGAATGAATATGTTGGACTGCAGGAAAACTATCTCTTCAGAGCCCAATAGTGGGATCAGTCTGCTGACCCAAGAATTGGAACCAAAGTTATTTGTACAGAAACAAATCTTAATGAAGCTGCATTTGATTTAAGCTGTGAAATATTTTTAAGGATGTTGTGTTTTCTGGCTACTATTGTGGAGTCCTCATGCATTTTGTGTGTTTGTTTGTAAATCACTGTATCAGAGCCAGTGGCCTTGGCATCCCGCATCAATATTCAGAGTTATTTCTGGTGCAGATTCCACTTGATTTCCTTTTTCTTGTAGATTGACTGAATCCATAGTTTGCACAATCCAAGCAAATATTCATTAGAATGAAAAAAATCCTTTTATATCCATTGCTGACCACGTAGCCTCCATTCACAAGCCCTCTGTCAGCTATCCCAGTCCCGTCCAACAAACCTACAAATTCACATTTCAGCTTGGCATCGAAGGGCTTCACCGCTCCAGTAAGCAGAACAGTGTTTACAGTGCTGTGCTGGCAGATGGTAGATTAAAATGGACAATTAAGCAGTGTTTCTGCACTCAGTCGCTTCCACGCAGTATTCTGCATCAGAGCACACTGCATGTGAAATATCAAACAAACAAGAGTGACCTTCAATTTATCAGGCCTTAGTTAATTGTAACCTTTTACCTCAAGGTAAAAATGACAACTATATAGATACACTTTTAAATTTCCATTTTATTATAGCGAGTTCTGTACAAAGTTGCATTACATAAAACCCCAAATTTATAAAGTGTTTTATAAAATAGTATCTTGCTCAGTACAGTGGCTCATTAAGTGCTTACCAGTCCAATGTAGAGGTCTGTTTATAAACACTGTAATTCACATGCCTTGAGCAAATGTCAGAAGCTCCATCATTTGCTTTCTGTTTTATATATACAGTATACAGGTGCTCCTCTACTTACAAACTTTCAGCTTACGAACTTTCAGACATACGAACGAAGAGGACTGCAAGTCCAAATTGTGTTCCTTGAGCTCCTGTTTCCTGTCCGCAACATCAGTTTTTTTTCTCTGTGCGCCAATTCTGCTCAGTACAAGTTCTTGCCGCTACTCCTGCCACACAGCATCCTAGTTCTTTGTACTTGCATATAATGTATAAATGATGTTGAATAACGACTTGCGAACCTTTCAAGTTACGAACGGCCATTCAGAACATAACTCATTCGTAAGTAGAGGAGCGTCTGTATATAGACAGATACACACTCAACATCTCATACGTATATGCGTATGTATATACTCTAAACCTATAATCAGTAAGCCTGACAGCTGCCCTGTGTGCCCTTCACTTGTACTCTTGTGTTGTTCCATTATAAAATACTCCTTGGACTCCAAAGGCATATCTCTGAACACCACTTTAATTACATTATACCATCTTACTCATTTAGCACTGCTACAAAAATGTACCACATTTCCACCTATTATGACAATGCAGTGCTATGCTGAGTCGAGGACTTTTTATTTAGTTTTCTAATTTGATAAACTGCCATGGTCCAGGTAAATTTTATTTGAATTTTAAATGTTCAAAATTGACTAGGCCTCATAACCATGACCAGGATCAGTGACCTAAAGATAGGTGGATTGATAGAATAACGACTAGGGTTGAAATTGTCTTTTTTACTATATGTGTCTTTATAATACTCTCTGGACAGTCTTTTGGGTCGAGGTAACATTAGGATATAGGAGATACCACATGCAGTGAGAGTTACTGTTAGGAACATAGGGGATACCACATGCAGTGGGAGTTAGTGTTAGTGATATAGGGGATACCACACACAGTGGGAGTTAGTGTTAGTGATATAGGGGATACCACACACAGTGGGAGTTAGTGTTAGTGATATAGGGGATACCACACACAGTGGGAGTTAGTGTTCGTGATATAGGGGATACCACACACAGTGGGAGTTAGTGTTAGGGGCATAGGGGATACCACATGCAGTGGGAGATAGCATTGGGACATAGGGGACACCAAATGCAGTGGGAATTAGTGTTAGGGACGTAGGGTATTCCACATGCAGTGGGAGATACCGTTATGGATATGAAGGATGCCACTCTTGCCCCAGAGAGGCAGTTTTCGTTGTAATATAGGATCTGTGTTGCCAGGCGGCTGCTGTCCAAGGTGCTGATGGCAGTGCATGGCCAACTTACTTCACTCATTGTGTCTACATCGTTGTGACATTTTCTTCGTTTTTTCAACTTTAAGATATTTACTGCAGCATAAGACTCGTATATAGTAAATGCTCACCTGTGTGAAATAAATTGACTATTTCATTTTCTATCTGGATCATTCTGTGTCATATTTACCATGATGCTCACCAGGAGAGCAGACTCTAGATGGATGGATGTGTCTCCTATTACCCTTGAATGATTTTACTTTTAAAGATACTTGTGTCAAAGCCTCCTTGATGAATTGACTAGGCGTCATTTCTTTCAGGGGTCACTGTCCTCTTGCTGTTGTATTGGTCCCTCATCCATCCTTACCCATCATGGGTTTTTCCCTTCCCTGAGCCAGATAGACAGGACAGAGGTCATCAAGAGTAACCTGAACCCTACCTTCAGCAAGGTCTTTACTCTGGACTACCTCTTCGAGGAGGTGCAGAAGCTGCGTTTCGAGGCATACGACATCCATGGGTCTCATAGCATCGACACCCATGAGGATGACTACCTGGGAGGCATGGAGTGCACGCTTGGCAAGGTAGGACGCTGACGTGGTGTCTCATCCAGGTTTGAGGCATTCAGAGAGTTGCCTAATGGTATTTGATATGCTCTGCTGATGCCTTACTCCTTATTAGTCACACCAGTGCGCTTTACTCTATAACCTGTGCGTGAATATGGGTGCTAATTAGCATGCAGCATGCTGCTCACTCAACCCTAAGCCATAATGTTAGACTTAGAAGACACAACTACATGGAGCAAAGGGTAAAACTACTGATTCATGGTCAAATGTCAATTATTTATGAGAGAACATCTCTGACAACCAATAGTGCCCCTTGACAATGATGATGGTAATGGTAAGAATGTTGCTAATATTACTTTGCATTGTAAATCTATGTTGCTACCAGCGCATCCCAGTGTTTTTAAAATAAAAAAGACACATACTAACATACTCGCTATTCAGAATAGTAAATGACTTTCAGTAGTGTAACTCCACCCGTGCAATGTTTTAGCAGCAGAGGTAGATGGTTAAGGTCCAGAAAATAAAAATCCAGATTAAGATTTTGTTTCAACAAATCAGTTGAGTACTCTGAGACTGTGACACATGCTCAACTGGTTGGTTGAACTAAATCTTTAATTTTTTACTTTCTGCACCTGAACTGTCCACCTCTGTATAGCAGGTTGGCAAGTTACCCTTGTCTTGATTTACTTTAATCTAATCTCATTTTCTCCAGTAGTGCATTTAGTAGTGCATGTTTCTTCTGAGGAATTTTCAGTTCTGTATTCAGAGTAATTTCCGACATTGCCAAATGAGATGTGTAATTCATCTTAAGATGTAATTTAGCATGGTGTGTCAATAAATACTAACACTACTGGAAATTAGTACCTTAATTCCAACGAATGAGGTTGGAAAAATAAAGATTTTGTGGTTAAAGGCTCTGAATTAGCTAGATGTCCTTTAAGATGAAACAAAAGGGGGAAGGGTCTCCGAGTGTTCACCTATACAGCTCTGCTGCATCACTGTGAGCAGGCATTTCTACATGTGAAACCAGAGAAGAGGTGTCAGATACCAACGTATAACAAATAACTACAAAAGTGCATTAATTTTCCACAGCTCTTGAAATGTCTGACCAGGATTTTTCTCTCACAGATTGTGGCTCAGAAGAAGATAGTAAAGCTTCTTTCTCTGAAATATGGGAAGAATGCTGGGAAATCCGCTATAACGGTGTGTTTTTCAGACATCTTGTGTCTTTTTATATCTAACAAAGTACTTTGAAACAACTGTGGATGGATTGCTATACCTTTGAGTCAAATTGCAAACAAAAAACAACCAGCAGGAAGTCAGTTAAACCAATCTTTAATTGACAGAAGGATAATCTCACCCATTGTGAAAGCTGAAGCTTAATTTCATCACTGTGATCCTTAAGTGCCTTAATGCATGAAACCCTCATATACTTGTTTATAGTGTAATATGCCTCATGTAGAGACTCAGAGCCTCTGGCACATACAAAATATTTCCTTCAATCAACCACTTTCCACCTGGCTGCCATTTTTCCCCACTCTAATGATCTTGCAATGCACGCCAACACATAACTCTCATTACATTCACTTTAACACCTACATCTGTGTGACTGTTATTGTGCACCATTAAATACTCCATTGCTCGTGAAATAAGAGTTGGCACGCGCACAGTAAATCTCTAGAATCTATGTGTAGAGACCGTTTAGCCTGTAAACAATGCTGTATTTTCGCAGTAGATGCATATCTGGGACAGCCTGTGTCTTCTGCACCTTATTAATAATATCAGTGAAACCTGTCACGGATCTATTTGATACATTTGTGCGCTAAACACTTTATCTCTAGCAGTAGTTCAGCTAGTGCTGTTCACAGTATTAATTAAGTATTCACTGTGGATCCTTGTTGACCTGTAGTTTCCATTTGGCCATAATCAATGAAAGGGTGCAATAGGAAGTCAACGGCTGTGTAACTGACTGAATCTCCACACGCATCCAAAATAAGTTACATAAATGGATTAAATGTATGGACAGTTTTAGTCAATATCTACAGTCTATATTTATGAATGGTTGCCATTTCCCCATTCTCTCACCATCCTGTCAACCTGCCCTCATAAAACTCAACAATTATTATTAAATGATTATTGATATGCTGCCCTGAACATCTCATTATTCGCATGAACTGCAATGCTTTGAAAATCATTCACCTTGAAGCTCATGCAGCAGAGAAGAGAACAGTCTGTGTCATTTAAACTTTTAAATGGAATTACTTCTCCACAAAAATCCAATGTATAATTTGATTCCCTCTCAAAACATGTTATAGGTAACCTGTTGTAATTCCAGGAAGGAAGGCAGTGCAGAAAGGCATGGAATGAGCAGACGCTATCAGAGACCAAGCATAGTGGAAATTCATGTCATACAACATGATGGTGGAAGAGTGTAATTTACTATCCATGCAAAAAACAAAATTTCTGTATGTCAGAATAGCCTCCTTCATATCATAGCATTCAAAATGATCGAAAAAGAACATGCAATCAATAATCTGGCAGAATATGTTATGATGGTAAGAGTTATTTGTTAGAAACAGTAACTGACCTACAAAGAATTGCCATAAAACTGACGACTCATTCTAATATGCCCCATTAACCACTCTCAAGTCATTGGGAAGACGCTAGGGTCTTATGGTTATCAAGCATATACTGCAATCCTGTTCTGTTGACTTAATTTAAGAATCAAGCATGTGAACAGATAGGTGCAGAACGTGTCAAAATGGACAAAGGTGAGTGAGATTCAAGGACATCAGTCTCTCCATACAAGAAACCTATAATGATTCTGTGCCTTGCTTCACCTTGGCACCAAATGACAAGACTCATTCTGTCCCAAGAACACCTAGAGGCTTATCAGTTATCAGTTTTCAAGAGGCTAATCAGTTATCAATTTTTTCCGACATATTGAATAAAGATAACAAAGTTTTTCTTCATACAGTGAGCTGCTTTTGTATGAATGAAAATCACAATAAAGAAATAAGCAATTATATAAAAACTGCATTACATAAATAAACTGAGTTTTTTTTTAATTAGAGGAGTGATCGATGCATTTAATTTGTTTCCTAGGTGAGCGTGGAGGAAATTTCAGGAAACAATGAATATGTTGAGCTTTCCTTTTCTGCAGAGAAACTTGATGACAAGGTAAGTTTTGCAGGTTTATAACTTTTAGACTGGCACTATATATCCACTATATGGACAAAAGTATTGGGACACCTGGCCATTACTCCTACGGGAACTTTTATGACACCCCATTGTAAATCCATAGGCATCAGTATGGAGTTGGTCCCCCCTTTGCAGCTATAACAGCTGCCACTCTTCTGGGAAGGCTTTCCACAAGATTTTGGGGTCTGTCCATAGGAATTTCTGCCTATTCCTACAGAAGAGCATTTGAGAGGTCATGCACTGATGTTGGATGTGAAGGCCTGACTCTCAGTCTGTCTTCTAGTTTATCCCAAAGGTGTTCAATGGTATTGAGGTCAGGACTCTGTGGGGGGCCAGGCAAGTTCTTCTACTCCAAACTCATGTGTTTAAGGACCTTACTTCGGGCACTGGGGCCCAGTCATGCTGAAACAGAAAAGGGCCTGCCCCAATCTGTTCTCACAAAGTTGGAAGTATGGAATTGTCCAAAATGTCTTGGTATGTTGAAGCATTAGAAGTTCCCTTCACTGGAACTAAGGGGTCTATCCCAACCCCATGAAAAATAACCCCATACCATTATCCCTCCTCCAACAAACTTTACAGTTGGCACAATGCAGTCAGGCAGGTAATGTTCTCCTGACATCCTCCAAACCCAGATTCATCCATCAGACTGCCATTCAAAGAAGTATGATTCGTTACTCCACAAAACATGTTTCTGCTGCTCCAGAGTCCAGTGGTGACTTGCTCTACACTACTCCATCCAATATGTGGCATTGCCCTTGGTGTCTTGCATGCAGCTGCTTGGCCAAGGAAACACATTCCATAAATGTCCCGGCACATAGTTCTTGTGTTGGAGTTAATGCCAAAGGAAATTTGGAACTCTGCAGTTATTGAGTCAACAGAGTGTTGTTGACTTATGCACTATGCACCTCAGCACTCAGTGACCCTGCTCTGTTACTTTACATGGTTTGCCACTTCATGGCTGAGTTTCCATTGTTCCTAAATGCTTCCACTTTGCAATAATATCACTTACAGTTGACTGTGGAATATCTATCAAGGTAGAACTGACTTATAAAGGTTGCATCCTATGACAGAACCACGCTTGTATTCATTTAGCTCTCCAGAATGACCCATTCTTTCACAGATGTTTGTACACCTGACTGGATGGCTAGGTGCTTGATTTGACTTTTGTCCATATAATGTGTGTGTTTGTACATTCATATGTATGTATGTATATATATACTGTATATATACATGCACTTAATCCCTTCCAGAAGGCTGTTCGAGAACTGAATTGGTTGAAAACTGAATCAAGTTTTTCCCATAAGAAATAATGTAAATTGGATTAATCCATTCCAGACCCCTAAACAATATTTAAAATACATACCTAATGCTACAACCATAAATAGAAACTTTAAAACCCATAAATACATGAAATTAATGAAAAAATGATTTTGCCTTTCCATACCCTATAACAAGATCAGACATGTAAACACCTCTGTCATATTTTGCAATTATTTCCTTTTTAAGCTCTATTGTGATTCTCACAACTTTCCTTTTTGGTTTGTTACTATCACTATCCTTCTTAGGACCCACAGTGGCTTAATTCATAACAAAATAAAAGTAAAACAAAACATGAGAATATTCACACCACAATGCGGCGGAGATGTTCGAGCGTTAGCGGTAGACTGACTGATATGCACACATTCTCTCCTTTGTTTATGCATAAAAAGATGCGTGCTTTGTCAGACAGGTTTTAGCGCGAAAGGGTTGGTTGATTGAGAACCAAAACTACGTTCGATAACCAAGACATTTTTTCACCAAACAATATGGTAGAGAATTGAATTGTACGAGATGTGAAACATTCGAGAACCGAGGTTCCACTGTATATGTATATATATGTGTACACCCCCACACACACGCACCCGCACACTCAGGCAGTCCCTGGGTTAAGAACATCTAACTTACAGCTCATGAAAACATTAGGTGGTTTCAGTGGCTGTATAATATCCATCCATCCATTTTTTGTAACTGCTTGTCCTGTTCATGGGCCTATGAGTGCAAGGCAGGGAACAACCCAGGATGGGGCACCAGCCCATTGCAGGGCACCCTCACACACCATTCACTCACACCCCACTCAAACCCCACAATGATATGGGGAGAACATGTAATCTCCACTTACAGAATCCTGGTGGAGACTCAAACCCTAGTCCCAGAGGCGTAAGGCAACAGAGCTAACTGCTGCACCACTGCACCACCCCCTGGTTGTATAATATTACCTTATAATCAATAGGCCTATTATTATTATAAACTGTATTATTTTTTTTCTGCCTTACCTATAAAAGTGACTAAACCACTTACTGTAGGAAATGGATCTCATTCATAGCCTGGGGACTGCCTGTATAGTAAAGATATACATGTCTTGTATAAAATTGTTTTTTGTTCATTTTAATTGTACATATAATACATAATGTTCGTACACCTTAACATTGACTGTGATTGGTCAGATTTGACTATGGGAATTCTTTCATTTGAGATGCCTGTTAAAGAGGCTCTCAGTGAGGTATGTTACCTCCCTCTAGCTACTCCACGGTTTTGTTTTGCTGTCCTCGGGGGCCTGCAGCTTCTCCCACACAATGCGCTGTACTGCTGACCTGTGTTCCTCTGCCCACATGCCTCTTCTCTTTACGCCTGACACTCTGCCACCATTTCCCAGAATCCCTCTGTGCATTGCCCAGAAGGTCCGTGGCCTAACCCACCTTATACGACAAGCACAGACACACATAAAGCGATTAATCCAAACAAAGCAGGATTTAAGAAGTCATGAACTGCTCTGGCTCTTACGAGAAGCAAGCAACCTGAGCGATGAGCTGAGAAATCAATAAGTTGTTTTTTTTTCTTGCAACTGAAGATGGAAAATGTAACAATAATAAAGGAGTTAACAGTGGTTACTATGAGAGGCGCTGGGATGTAATCGATATGCTCAGATTGTGGTATCCAGCAGAAGAGCATGATGGAGATACTGTATGGTATTCAAGGAGTGCAGGCAGAATGCATACTCATCAATTCCCCAGCCTGTCGACTGACTAGATTACGCCACAGGCCTTTTGGGGAAACATACTCTGGAGCAATTTGTTAAGCTTGATAACAGTAAGAAGCAAAGAGCTCTGTTTTACATTTATGCATTCTGTTACACCAACATCAGCTTCGCAAAAGCCTTAGCAATCCATGTTTGGTAGTCCCATGTGGAGAACAATGAAGAAATCAGAGCAATATCTTGCACCCTTGATGAACTCATTTTAGTCTTGCAGACTATATGCTCCCCAGTGCATAAAACTAGCAGCTTTTATGGGCTGTGTCACATACTGAACACCTTGTAGCATTTGTTGGATTAGCCACCTTTTAGATGCTAACGTGTCTGTGAGGATCATCCATTAGCCTCTATTAAAGCTCCAGTGATGCAGCCCAGAGCCCTGGTGTGATTAGGCCTGTCACATGTCTGCCGGAATAACAGATACCATTCAGTGTGTTTCCAAAAAAAAAAAAAAAAACATTCAGTGGTGCTATAAATATATCAGCGTAATGCAAAGACAATTATGCGCTCAAAATTATTCCAGCTATTGAATGACTTCAGTGAAAAGGGAGCAATAACCGGTGCAGCGCAGTCAGAAAACAAACCATTGAGGAAAAATATATGAACATTTATCCAAGCAGCTTTTCAATTTTTAAACACACTCTGGCTTTTTTAAATGACTCTGAGATGGGAGAGGACTCAGAGGAGTCTCAGTTTAAATAGCTGGAGGTGAACGTGGCAAAGGCAGCATTAATGGAAATGCTTTAATACCCTCCGGTTTCTCTGATCATTCTCAGCCGTGTGGTTTTTGTCATAAAGTTCAGCTGTGGCAAGGTGTTTTTTTAAATCTGTATTAGTGTCTAATCATAATATCATATAAAATGACATTCAGGTTGCTTAGATTGAGCCCAGCTTCATTTTAATAGTCTCAATTATTCAATGTGTATGCGTATAACCGTCTCAGAAGAAATTTTAGTACTTACATTTTCAAAACCCTTACCCCTGCCGCCATGTCAAAATTCTTTATTTTTTCTCTCTTTCTCACAGCATGGGGTCTAAATGTCTAAAAAAACTTGTGTTAAAAAACTTGCTTTCAAAGAATAAAGGAAAGCCTAGAAACACGATCTGTTTCAGCCGATTGCATGATTCTGTTCCATTTTCTGCAGGATCTCTTCAGTAAATCGGACCCATTTTTGGAAATATATAGAATTAATGATGATGAAACAGAACAACTGGTCCACAGAACCAAGGTGAGGAGATATTTGCTTTGTGAAGAAAGGCTTCCTTAACCTCATAATATTTACGCATGTTTTTGAGCAGATTGGATTTGAACCTGTAATATAACTTTAGTAAGCTCTAATTTGATGCCTTCTTGCCACAGAGTGGGAAATGGACCATCAGGGTTTGCCGTTTAGGGCTGTGTAGACATTCGGATGTGGAAGTTTACGGTATGGGCACTTTAGGGTGCAGAGTGCTTGCTTGAAACTAGGCTTTAGCTTATATATTTCTTGGTTTCGGCAGGTAATCAAGAACAATCTAAACCCTGTTTGGGAGACATTTAAAGTGTCTCTGAGCTCTTTGTGCAGCTGCGATGAGGACAGGAGGCTGAAGGTGGGTACTTCTTCCAGTAATGAGAAGTACTCATAAGTAATGGTCTTTAGCTATATTCAGGGATGTTCCTGAGGGAAATTAGGGGGGGAAAAAACCTTGTTTCTCTTTCACTTTCCATGGCATTGCTCTTTCACAGAATCCATTTTTAGATTCCTGTAGACACGTATCAGTCCTAATAACTAGGTTCCGCTGTACATTTTTCATAAAAGGGAAGCTGATCTCTGTTTTCTGTTTGTTTAGCGTTGTCAAGATTGTTACTCAATTCATGAGAGGGATCAAGTAACAGCCGGACAGATACAGTGTCATATGTACTGAGAATTAATTGACAGAGGGCTTTTCTTGGGTATTGCAGTGCCTCGTCTGGGATTATGATTCCAGGGGAAGGCATGATTTTATTGGAGAATTCTACCCCACATTCAGAGAAATGCAGACAGTAACTGAAGAAAACAAGGTCAGTTTGCCCAGGACAACATGCTTAATGTCTCAAAGTTATGCATGTTGTATGTTGTGAAAATCCCTCATTATAGCCCATCGACAATCCCTATAATATTTTCTGTTATTTGCTGGTAAAAGAGCGGTGGCACACTCACGTGACTCTTGTGTATATCAAGGTTTCATGGGAATGTATAAATCCAAAGTACAAGTTAAAGAAGAAGAACTACAAAAATTCTGGCGTGGTCATTCTCTCTGAGCTGAAGGTGGGTGCGCAATGCCATATGTGGTTTTGCCATAACACACATGCAGGCTTTTCTGTGTCATTCAGAACGGGTCCTGCCATTGGGGTTGAGCACATGTGACATGGAACGTGACTGCTCAGTGTGTGTGTGTGTGTGTGTGTGTGTGTGTGTGTGTTTGTTTGTGAGTGACAGAGAGAGAAGAAGACTGCTTCCTTTTCGCTGCTCCACTTGGAGAGGCTGTTGGAGACGCCACACTTCCTCTCGTCCCATTTGTTCCTAAATCTAAATGCATGTCAAAAATAGATACAGAGCACCCGTGTACTGCTCTGGTACAAACACTTCAGTATTTTAATGGATGAATGTTTCTATAAAAGACACTGGGGCCTTTTCTCCTGCTTGTGATCATCATGCAGTCACTGCATTTTATAATGCACTGTGTTTTTCCTGCAGCTTCTCAGAGTCTATTCCTTCTTGGATTACATCATGGGGGGATGCCAGATACATTTCACAGTGAGTCAAGTCTCTTATCCAATACACTGTTTATTCCTCAGTTTGTGGGGCAATGTAGACCTTAAAACTAGATCTTTTTGTAGTTACGAAAGCAGTGCTCATCCTTCTGTTGGTGTTTTCGAAGGTCCACGCATGCACGCAACATTTAAGATTTTCAGGAAGCGATATTCATTTAGCATAATTTTTTTTCATGTAAGATTTCACTAGTGTGGATGCTTTCAGTTTCTTAGCCGAGTCTGCAGCTGATCTGCTATAGTGTTGGCCAGAGACAGCAGCTTTAAGTCTATTGACGTTCTGTTAAAATACTCAGTCACTGCCCTTGGAGCTGACCATACTTTTCCTGGCCAGGATGACGCAGATAAGCTCCAACATAACTGACTCTGAGGACATGGCCATAAGTTTTTGACTGACTTCAGCTCAGAACATGTCATTGTCACACTAAGGTCATCAGTCTCCTAGAAATAGCAGTCACCTTGATTTACACGACGCAATGCACCAGCATGATTTCAGGCCCTGACCGTAGCAGAGGAGAGGACTTGGTGGCTGGTTTTCTCAATGAAATGACATTGCTTTGTATAGTGTAAAGACTATGTTGGTCTTCAGAGCATCAAAGGATGCCACACTCTTGTGTTGAACTCACACTTTTGCAGGTGGCTATTGACTTTACTGCTTCGAACGGGGACCCTAAAAACAGCTGCTCTCTACACTACATCCACCCCTACCGGCCCAACGAGTACCTAAATGCCCTGGTGGCACTGTTGGAGATCTGCCAGGATTATGACAGGTATCAGCATCCATTACTCTTATGCCTTAATGAATTCATCACTTTTTCCATTGGTAGGGTTCTCATTTCTTATTCTTGATAGGGAATGAAGTATTACGTTCCCTGTGTGAATTATACGCTCATGGGAGTTTCATTCACACAAACATGTTCTGAGGGCAGAATGAAAAATGGTTCAGAGAAATAATCAATCAGATTGTAAATGAGGTGGGTCCAAGCAACTGGACCAAGATATCTGATTGGTTGGTCACACCTAATCTATAATCTGATTGGTTATCTCATTGGACCGATTATTTTTCAGTCTGCACTCAGAACATTTTTATGTAAGTAAAACTCACATGGGCAAATTATACCACCCTCTTGGTTATCTGTTCACTTCAGTTTGCTTTCCTTGGGTAAAAAGAACATGCAAATTAGGTATTGGCAAGGAGCTGGGTTGAGTTGATTCATGTGAAATCCAGTGGCTGTTTGACAAGAGTAGTATCAAAGTTGAAGTTAACATTTAACTGGAAGTATATTACATTTCTTTGTAGTTGGGAAGTTCAACTCTTGATGGCTATGTTTTTATCACATTGCAGACCTAAAGTCACTACTCATTAATGTATTCCAGGCAAACATTACCAGAGAGAGTTCATATTGTCTGGTCAAACCAATTTGCTTGGTAATTGGATCCTTGTGACAATTAAAATATTTTTCTTTTTTCCCCCCAGTGTGAGCCAGTGATAGATATAGCAATGGCACAAGACTGGGACAGGGTGAACTCATGTTACCATGGCAATGATCACCAGCTCCTGTGTCTACAGATACTCGAGTTAATAAAACTTTGCTTCCCCATCTGGGCTGAATACTTTGTTAAAGATAAATCGGGTTAGGTGGGTGTATCAAGAGGGTCAGAAAGTCCTCTCCACCATCCATATTTTATTCATATGCAGCAGTATTTGTCTTTGTTATGAATCTTGCATGTTTTGCAGTAGTAACATTTAAAAATCTTGTAATGCATGATAGGAAAGTGAGGTAGCTTCACAGGTCCCCAACTGTTTAATTCTGTCTGTTGTCTAATAGTCACAATAAAATACAATGAAATGATTTTTCGACATATTGTAGTAAATATAACTGGATTCATTTGATAGCAAAGCCCATTTCCTAACATGCATAATGCTTTGCAATCTTAATTACATTATGATTAATGGGTTGGGTTTTTTGAGAGAAAGTCTGATGCTCTGTTCAGTTGTTTAGATACAGATGATAAAATCGAATAAGAGTCATGGCTGGGCTGAGATTCAGCTTATGTCTGTCAGGATCTTTGAAGTAACATCAATATGCTCACCTTCATGGGTATGCATGATTGTGGGAATGAGTGCTTTTGATCTAGAGAAGTTAAGCGTGTCTCCATTCTCCATCAATTTATGGAAATCCATTTATTATCTAGTGCAGAGGCAGCATTGTTGCACAATGGCCCTCATTACACGTTAGCGATTTAAAATTAGTATGATATTTGAACATGACAACAATGCATTATTAATGTTATTGGTTTCTCATTTTCACCCTAAGAGTCCTGAAAATACTTCAGCTTGCTCAATCATGATGTAATTTAACCTGATGGATGTGAGGAGGTGCGAGTTTCCTGCTGATTTAAATAGGAATTGTCTTCGCCCAGGTATTGATGTTCTACGCTTTCATGGTCATATTGTACATAGCCAATGTGCATTATGTCACAGTAAACAATTTGCTTTGTTTTTGGGTCAGAAATTAAAAAGCGTTTAATAATGGGATGTAATTGCTTCTATAATGTTTATGAATCCTTTTGTTTTTATGCAGTGTCCTCAGATATCAGTAGAATTTCTGTTTGTCTGCCTTATTTTCTGTACAATGATACTAAATTATGTGCAGATTCATGAAACAACATTATTCATGTGGAAACAAAGAAAGAAAATTCACATAAAAGGTGTGCAACATGGCCGAAATGCAATGCTGTGTGACTTCCCCGCTCTGTATTTTGACTGTGTATCAAATTTTGACGGGAACGCCTTACAGTGCCGAGACGGTGTGTGTGTGCTGAGACCCAGTGGCCCCTCGGGGTTCCTCTTAATGCCCCTATGATATTTTCACTTATTATTTGTTTATTTGTCACTGCAGAAAACATGTTAGCGCTCCCTGTGCACGGAAGTTGATTTTGATTAAAATGCCCGCCCCCTCGCTCCCTGCTAGCTCCTTCTCATCACATCCAGGACCAGGCTTTCCTCCCGGATTCATTAGAAGCGGCATTAGCGTTTATGTCGCCCCGGAAACACTCTAGCTGTGAAGTTGCTGAGGGAGGTAGATTACCTCTTTTATTGCTGGAGCAAATGAATATGAAAAACTTCCCAGCATTAAAGACACAAATTCATTTTATATGGGGTATTGGTGCAAAGAGAGCCTGGGAAATAAGAATGAGTCAACCATCCAATCATTTTCCATCGCTGTTTATTTAATATGGAATTTTGTTGAGTTTGGAGCAGAAGAAGAAGTCTTCGGCAATACCCTGGATGTGACCAGTGGAGAAACAATTCAAACTGACTGTGCCATTAAATGCTCACCTTTTAAAATATTTAGACATGTTTTACTCCTACATAAATATTTGTTTATTACATTAAAATATTAAATAACTTTATATAGTCAAACCAAGTTAAATAATATTTATAAGAATTTACCTATTATTATATTACATTGAATAATTTAAATATTGTAGCTTGTGTGATGGCTAATTGCCGTGATTTCTTTCCACTTGGAAACGAGTCTATTATCAGATTAAACACTGGTTAAACCAAATCCTCCAAGGTAAAAATCCAATATAATTCAATCTAATTGTAATTGGATTGAATATAGATTAAAAATATAAATCATTGCCTACACCTATGTGCTTAAATTCTCACAACAAAGTGGTACTTAACCAGCAACCCGAAACAATTACACTGGTGTAGTTTGACATACCGGGAGACAAAATTATCAACTCAACGATTAACATTTTACACTATTTTTTTCAGTGACAAAAAATTCTCTGCTTTGGGCTTTGGTGCAAGGATTCCCCCAAGTTATGAGGTAAAGGATGGTTATTTTGCCTGAATTGTGCCAGGTTTGCATTGCTGCTGAGTATATTACTTCTTCTACACTCACAGGAAGCTAGACAAATGTTAACTAATTATATTATTCCTTGGCCTATAATGTGTTATAGAAGAAGTAATACACAAGAAACATCTCTGAGGAATCCGTAAGAAGAAAAACCTTTCATTTCACACATAAAAAAACCATTTAATCACGTAGATATAAAACGTAATTTTTCTGCCACATACTCTGCGGCGAGCTGCGAGATCAGATAAGACGGCTGTGTAAAAGGCGAGCCTGCTTGCACATCCCAGCCTGTCAAGCTGTCAGATTTCACATTTTGTCTCACACGGAGACTTTCTCTGCCACTGTCTGCTGGAGGCATTACAACCTTTCTGGAAGATGTGCTTTTAATGAAGTTAAAATAATTGGCAGCCATTGTGGCCACCCCTTTGTGCTGATAGAGAGTTGTCATAGGATTTTCTTTGCGAGAGGTGTGGGTGGATAAAACCCCCAGAGGAGAGAACACACTGTCATTTTAAGGACCACCCCCCCCCAAACAAAATGTGTAAAGTATGATATGAAGGGAGCTAAATCCTCTGCTCTAGGTGATGAACCAAATACACGGCGTTATACTGTATATTTCTAGGGATGTGTAATGAAGATATATACACATCAGTATCTGATTAAAATGCACATTGGTAATGTATGTGATCTTATTATCTTACATATTATTTAATACTTTATTTAAACTGGTTGTAGAGAAATATGCATATTTCATTGGCACTGAATTGTTATTTATAAAAAGGGTAAGAGCTGAATAGTGAATACTGATTCTGTGTCTGGTTATGCTCAGGTCTCTCATGACTTTGCCATTAATTTTGACCCGGACAACGATGAATGTGAAGGTAAAAGTGGCTCATTTTCACTGAAGGCTTCCTGTCTGTCCCATTTTTAATGTGCACTTCCCAGGGATCTCTTGTCCCAATTCCAGTAAGAGGGCTATTAGAAGAAGGTCAGGCTAGTATGTACCTACTGCCGGTCAGCATGCACCCCCCCCTACAAAAAACCTCCCACCAAAATGGTGTCTCTGTTGCTCTCTATAAGGAATCCAGGGCATCGTGGAAGCGTACCAGAACTGCGTTCCCAAAATCCAGTTGTACGGCCCAACCAATGTGGCCCCTATCATAAACAAACTGGCCAAAGTGGCAGCCCGGGAGAAAGCGACCAAAGATGCCTCGGTACGTACCCCTCCCACCGCAGAGAGGCTGCAGAGGGGGCCTGAATATGATGACTGGAGTGTCTGCATGAAGAGCTTCACTAACAAGACCTAATGGGGTAGAAATGCAGTCCGAATTGGGTTAATTTATTCCCAAATTGTGAGGTACACAAAAACATCAGTTATGATACTAGAAGTTCAACTTATAATGCTACTTCAAGGATGGGGAACCTGATCCATGGAGAGCTGGTGCAGGTTTGTGGGATGACCTCTCAATCAGCCAATAACAGTGGGTCCCCAGGACTGGAGTTCAGAACCGCTGCTTTACTACTGGCTGATTGAGAGGTCATCCCAAAAACCCACACCTACACCGGCTATCCATGGATAAGGTTCCCCACCCTTGTGTTGCGTATTAGTAGGTACACTCCACAAACTGTCATATACAGTAAATGGTAGGACTCATGTTAATAAAAGACATGTCAGACTATGAATTTTAAAAGGGGCCCAAACTCATTTAACCTCAACGTGGCCACACGACTCTGGCATACTGTTGGTATCTGGCTGTTGTTGACAGGTGTGCCCCGCTTTGCGGGAACCTCTGATGAGCCCTTGAGTTTCAGTGACATAGGGGCACAGTGTTCAGGTGACAAGCAGGTGATTACTCTATATGGGGAGGAAGCATGAGCTGGGACTATGCAGACTGACAGGCACTGATTCTCTTTTAACAAGCTGACCTGCACTTATGTGGTTCACTTTCAGCTTTAAATCAGTTTCCATCTGTTTTGAGGTTATTTTATGCTAAATATCGTGCCAGTCAGGATTCTCTTTTTCCTTCAGAGTGCTGTTAAAAACTGTAAGTATTTTGTGTTTAATGTCAGTTTATTAAGTACTACTCTTTCAAGAAAGGAAAAAAACATTTCAGAGAGGTTCAGTCAAGCAATAATCTTTATGAACACTGTACACACTTGCTGGAGCCATACTGACATCAACTGCACGATGATGTTTATGTGCCATTTCCTTCTTCAATAACATGGTACTTGGGCAATAAATCTCTGGAAGCACATGGTTGGAGAGAAGAGGGATGGCACAGCTGGAGTGGAATGGCAGTGCGAGGGCGTTGGTGATGGAGGGAATCTCAGAAACATCCCTCAAACCAAACTGAAGCTAACGAACTATACTAGCTAAAAACCCAGATCGGAATAAAAATTGCCTGTTTATCACCAAGTACCTTAAAATACAAAGACTATACTTTGGGATGTTGTGCAATATGAGCAAGTCTAGATCAGTGTTCCTCAATCCGGTCCTCGGGGACCCACAGTTGGTCCGTGTTTTTGCTCCCAAAAACATGTACTATCTGTGGGTCCCCGAAGATTGGATTGGGAAACACTGGTATAGACAATGAATGATATTATATATACAAATAAAATAAATAATAAACTGGCATCTGTCCAACGAACAACTCTGTCTTTCAGCAAGGCTAACTTTTGTTGTCAGTTAAACCTTTCGCTGTTCTGCCCAAAACACTAATGAAGGCAATTAGGGGCACTGTTGCCTGATAATCATGCTTGTATTCACTGCACTACCTATAATCCTGGTGATAAATAGGTAACTGCAGGTCTCTGAAGTTGTTTATGACTACTACCTGTGCTGAATGTCAGCTTGGTGTTACTATAAATATGTTTTCTGCATTTTAATTTTATTCAAGCTTTGATTGGTGGCTCTGAGGCTAGGGATCTGTCCCAGCATTCGAAAGGTTGCTGGTTCAAATCCCATGAATGCCAGGAGTGATCCTGCTTTATTGGGCCCTTGAGCCAGGCCTTAACCTACAATTACTTTGTCCTGAGTTTGACATTAATCTACATCCAGCCCTGCAAGGAGGTCCTCCAACTTACAGGGAAAATTTGGGGGTTGGTGGCAGGATTGGCACTGCAGCCACTGGAAAAAGTCACACTGTTCCATTCAAACTAGTGTGGTGTTGAAGTATCACCCACTGCAGGGCTGCACTCAGGTTCTCACCCTTGAGGTGGTTTGTTGTGTGGTGGGTGCAGCAACACACTGTGATCAGTGTGTGCTCCTTGTCTCCTCCTTTGATATTCAATTCTGAAATGTAATTCCAGTAAAAACTAACTAAATAAATAGCCAGCACATTTGTGAACACTGATGTTTAAATGGAAAAATCCAGACAGCATTGGTCACTGGCTTTGTGGTCTGTTGTGGAGAATTTATTTCTTGTGGAGAATTTATTTCTTTATTTATTTCTTTGTGTGGGTGGATGAATATCAATTGATTAACCTGCATGCTGGTACTATGCCACTAAATTATTATTAAATGATTATTAAATGATAACCTGAGTTTAAATTTCTAGTCTAAAGTGATGTTTTCCCACCCAGCGATACCACATCCTCCTGATCCTCACCGACGGCGTGGTGACAGACATGGGGGAAACACGTGAGGCCATCGTACGTGCCTCCTACCAGCCCCTGTCCATCATCATCGTTGGAGTGGGAAACGCTGACTTTACAGACATGCAGATCTTGGATGGAGATGATGGGGTCCTGCGTTCACTCAAAGGGGAGCCTGTGCTGAGGGACATCGTGCAGTTTGTGCCCTTCAGAGACTTCAAATCGGTCAGTCCATCTCACTCACTGTACCGTAGATGTACCTTCAATTTGGTCAGTCCATCTCACTCACTGTACTGTAGATGTATCTTCAAATCGGTCAGTCCATCTCACTCACTGTACCATAGATGTACCTTCAATTTGGTCAGTCCATCTCACTCATTGTACCGTAGATGTACCTTCAATTTGGTCAGTCCATCTCACTCACTGTACCGTAGATGTACCTTCAAATTGGTGTTGGTGGCAGAACCAACA